GTTCCAAAGTGGCCATCCTCTCCCTTTTGGACTATGTTGTTTGGTCAAAATATGAAGTTCAAAAATATGTGCTTGACGTATTAGAATTTGAACCTCATCAAAATGTGTTTTGTCATGGTATAAATAATAAAAGCCTTTTTGGCTCAAGTTATTTTACTTCTAAGGTTCTGGCTGTGAGACTTTGCGGTGAAATAGATTAGACATGGCGCCCTTTCTCAAGATTTTTCTTGAAGAAGCTGGCAAGGTTCAAAAAAAAAAAATAGACATGGCCTTTTCAAGAGCTGTCTTGATGAAGCTGGCAAGGTCTTACAGTTAATTTGTTTCTTAATTTTTGTACAAATCGTTTTTAGACATTGCCATTTCAAGAGTTTATCTTCATGAAGCTGACATGGTCAGAGTTTATACATGTATACATATACCGTGAAAGGTATCGTATTATACGTACAAATTGAACATATTAATTAGATGCATTTTATGAAAGATGGATAGTATTAGTGGTTTAATGGACAAGGCCATTTCATTAAAATTGGCGAGGTCCTGGTTTTTCAAATGACTTAAATTTATTATTTAATTCAACAGTGCATTGAAATACGGTTAGTACAAGTGCTTTATTGGACAAGGCCCTATTTTTTTATATTGGCGAGGTCCTGATATTTCAAATGATTTGCATTAAGTAATTATTTAATTCAACGGAGCATTGTTTTGAAAAATGGTAGCATTAATGGTTTAGAGGACAAGGCCATTTCATTTAATTTGGCGAGGTCCTGCTATTCAAATTATTTATACATTAAGTAAATTTTTAATTCAACAGTTTTGCAGATATTTTTAAATCGGGCAAGTGGTCTTCTACCTGGAATTGTGTGAATCCGCAGTTAAAGGAACTAGCCGACAAACTTCCTTCGGTGTGTGTAAAATCAAAGGCGGAAAATACAACAAAACAGTACTCAGCTGCGTTCAACAGATTTTTTAGTGGTGTTCTAACTATTGATCAGATTTCTCCACTACCTGCTTCAGACTATAATATTTCATTGTACTTGGTCAAACTTAGTGATTCAGTTAATCCTATCGATGAAGCTTTTCATGCTATTAGCTGGGCCCATAAACTATCTGGATATTCTAATCCGTGTTCCTCGGATCTCGCAATTCTCACCAGGGAAGGATGTCATAGATCAATTGGTCATCGATCAAACAATAAAAAGGAACCTATATCACCTGAAATTCATAAAAGCATATGTGTACTGTACGGGAGCGAAACATGTAATTTATTAGACCTTAGAATCGCATGTATGTGTATTTTAAATTTCACAGGTTTTTTGAGGTTCTCTGAGTTAGTTAATATTAGAATGTGCGACATATTAGCAGACCTTTTTTTGTATTCATATGAAGCAGAATTTGTCCAAAATCTTGTACGTGAAAAGAAGAAAACACTTGCTGTGGCCTTCAACTCGACATTTAGATATATCGACGACGTATTTTCAATTAACAATGGCTATTTCCATTCTTATGTTGATAAGATATATCCTGGTGAGCTTAAGATAAAAGTTTCCACAGAGTCTGACACATTTGTTTCATATCTGGATATTTTATTTGAAAAAAGACTTTAATGGTAACCTAACAACAAAGCTTGATGATAAACGTGATGACATCAATTTTTCAATCGTCAACTTTCCTTACTTATGTAGTAATATACCCTTGTCACCTGCATGTGGGGTTTTTGTCTCCGAGTTGATTCGATACACAAGAGGATGGATGCTCTACATATGAACACTTTCTAAAACGAGGCAAACTATTGACAAACAAGTTTATGAAACAAGGATATCAACAGTTTCGTTTGAAGTCATCATTTCGCAAGTGTTATGATCGATACAATGACCGTGTCAGCAAATACAACCTATCATTAAGTCAATGCTGAGTGACGTTTTTTATAATAATTGTTATACATTATTTACATACTGAATTGTTTACGGATTTTTTCGTTTTTCTCCCATCATGACAAGGAGCACACGGCGGGTGTGACCGGTCGGCACGGGATGCTCATGACACGGGATCCATGACACCTGATCCCACCTCTGATGTTTTTGGAAGTCCGTGTTTGCTCTGCTCCCGATTTGTATTGTTTAAATGGACTTCTTGATTTTATTAGATGACTATCCGGCTTCACAGCAGTCACAGTGAGGAATCGTTTCAGGAATCCTTGCTAAGAAATCAGCAGTAAATCCTGACCTGTGTTTGATCTGGAATAATTTTTCCAGCCACCTTTCCGGCTGACCTTTGATATGTCTGAACCTCATCAACCATGTGTGGTCCGTTCTGGTAATAAATGGTCTATATAGAGGTAATGTCAGAAGTGTTGATAGAATTAAGCTACAGCTTATAATTCTTTCTTTGTAATGCAGTATCTGCGTTATTCATTTAGTAATGTATGACTGACATACATATAACTGATGACCTCTTTACCGTCATTGACCTGGTATAGGACTATTCCAATGGATTGATGGGAGAAATCTGTGTCAAGTAAAAATATTCCATTCGGGGTTGAAAACTTGAGATAATCAGGCTGGGCAAGACATTTTAAAGTGATTCATAGCATTTTTGTGATCTTGAGTCCAGTTTAGTTTAGCTTTCTTTTTATAGTAAATCATACAATGGTATAGCTAATTTTGCAAAATTCCTTATATGGTCTACTCTTTGGTAGTTAACTTAACTTATTCATTACTTAAAGCTGTACAGCTTATCAGTACATTCTATATAATACAATCAGATACAGTACAGATGTAGATAACTTACAGGAGAACAATGTGTACGTACAAATAATAGAGGAAAAAAGGAGAAAAACATTATTGGATTACAAGATCACCTCTTCACCTCATCCTATAATATGTATACTATCCTTAAAATTCTCAGTATTGAACAATTGCAGTAATTTAATTATACATGGATGATTTTTAAAATTTTATGTTATATAGAAGTAAATGTGGTTTAGGCTTTATTAAGCCCTAAAAATTATGTGTTTTCATAAAATAATGAAATTGGCTTAAATATGAGTTGAGTATATGAATATAGAAATTATGAAAGGATATAGTATGAAGGAGGACCATTCTGGAAATTTGACATCGGTAACTTGGTACATTTCTAAGTTTTAAACAGATAAAGCCTCAAATTATTCTTTACTTCACTGTTTTCCTTTAGAAAATAGTGTCCACAGCCGTCTTCACCTTCAATTTTTGGATATGTTGTGTAAAATTCTTTGAAAAATCAAATTTCTTAAAATCGTAATGGGCGATGTATTTTCTCTATATTTAGACAAAAAATGTTTTTGTTTGCTACTTTCAACTATTTCAATTTGACAATAGCCAAGGGCTAAATCCAAAGTGGTAAATAATTTTGTACCAGAAATCTACACAATATCTGACACTATCGTCTTTTTTCTCGACTAAAACTGGAGCAGACGCCCACTCAGAAGGTGGGGTAATGACTCCATCTAACAATATCTGCCAGTGTTCTTTCTTTTTTATCTTGAAACCCTAAAGGTCTGAATTTCTGTTTTACAGGAGAAACATTCACTGTATCGATACAGTGTTTCATACCTTTCATATACCCTAGTTTTAATTTGCCCAAGGAAATACTGTCTGAATATTCTTGTTTAAAAAAACCCTAACTTTTTGACCTGTTCCTTATCTAGCCTTGCACTTGACCTATCAAGGAGATCTTGAACATGTGTAGATAATTTACGATTTTCAATGGACATTTTACCTTTCACGGTAGCTCAGTCGGTAAAGCGCTCGCTCCGTGATCGGGAGGTCGTGTGTTTGAATCTCGGCCGCGACTGACCCAAGTGGATAAAAAAAAAATGGGTAGCTACTGTTCCTTCGCCATGCGCTTGGCACTTTGAAGTGTAAGTTGCGGCTCCTTCGGATGAGACCTTAAAAACTAAGGCCCCGTGTCACGGCAGGCGTTAGCACGATAAAGACCCCTCACTACTCAATGGCCCTGAGTGCCGAGTAAAGGTCAAAATTTGAGGCCCTTCACCGTTATATGGTGACGTCTTTATATGAGTGAAAAATTCTTGAATGGGACGTAAAACAACATACAATCAACATAGAATCAATGAACAGTTTTTTAATTACAGGTTGGAATCTGTTTCATTTTTCACCACTTCTACTGACTCGGCACTTCCAATGTGTTTACATAGTTTGAACTTCACTGCGGAAAACAATGTAAATTTCACCTGATCTATAGAAACAAATAGTAACCAGTTTATCCATGTCGCCAATATTATATCAAAGTACGCAGAGTGATTCTTACCAAGGGTGAGATGGCCTCAAATCCAATCACTGGTCAGAATAACGTTTGGACCTCTGCACCGATCACATATTGTGACCTTTGTTTACAAATACAATTTATCGTTAAGTCAAAAATTGATTTTGATAGGACTTTTGTCAAGTCTGGAAGAAAGAAAAAAAGAAAACAGATCACTCTTTATGGTTGCTGCAGTTAAACTCTGACAGCCAGATGGTATTCTTCATCTTATAATTCATCACGAAGACTTCCGATTTATTTACAAGAAGCGTTTTACGGTTGTGTTTTTCTTTTATTTTCATTCTAAGGCTTAGCTCTAAACACAACTTTAATTTAATCTGTCTATAAAAGAAATTTAAAAAGTACTAATGGTTTTGGAGAGCTTGACCAAAACAATTTATTTGCGCGTTACACGTATGTATTAAAATTTCTCAGCATAAAAAATTATATTGATACATAAAAGGATTAATGAATTTTATGTGTTTTTTTTTTATTTTTTTTATTTTTTTTATTTTTCCTGATTTTAAGATTCTGCTGAAGGCCTTTGACTCTTGTCAATAAATGAAAAACTAAACAGACACATCAAATGTTTGAAACATTAAGGCAAGTACTTATATTTTTGTAACATAGAAAGAACACAAGAGACTAATGTACGAGTAATGTACGAGTTTCAATAACTGTTGTTCAAATATCTTTTCCACTTGATGTTTGATTATTTTAGTAACATGTGTTGCAATGTCTTTCTGTTTATTATTATTAAGATGATCAGTCTTAATATTCCAGATGTAAAACATGAAGATTAAAGAATCATGTAAGAAGACTTAATTAATACATTGGAAATGTTACAATTACATATATACAAAACACAACAAAGGTTTTATAGCCTGACATTGGAAAGGTTACAATCATTCATATATACAAAACGCAACAAAGGTTTTATAGTAAGCCTGAAAAGTATCGAAACTGGAACACAAAACAAGCAAGGAAAAACCAATACTTTTTGTAAATCAAAGAAAAAAAAAGGACATTATATTGAACAAAATGGCAGTTAACAGAGAAAAGACTAACGGTTTCTGTCTCAGGCTTGACATAAGTCACCTATATCGGCCACATTATGTGTTCCGTAATAGCGTTCACCTTTAGGATCCGAGTTAAGAATGCATTCTAGTGCTGGAGTCACTGTTAACGAGATGGTTCTATGACTTAAATGTGTAAGACGCACACTAAATGAAAATCCTTTACTTAGTTAAATTTGATTTTGAGATTCATCAACTCTCTGATCACTCTTGTATACTGAAGATTTTACAAAGAATTTTTCTTTATAATTAAAATGCATATATTTCAGCGGTATCAACATTTGACAGAAGTGGCCGTTTAATTTTTTTAACAATTTAATAAATGTCTTAATTATTTTTACCTCTGAGAGTTATCTCTCGTAGCAGAGTATCAACAAACTTTAATATTGATCTTTTTTCTTGAACTGTTTCTAATCTTATGAGTACTCAAAAAAGTTAAATTATACATGTGTATTTTAAGTTATCTAAATATTTACCACCATCTGAAATGTTACAAAGTTCAATGCGTTTGTTTGGATCTTTGGTGTAGCACCAGGGTGTTGGCTCTTTATCAGGATTTCTACAGTAGTTTTCAGGCACAATTGTAAGTTCGTCCCTACGGAATGTGAATGGGGAGTCTATATATACCTATATGCAAATCGACGAAGAAAAAGTACAGCACTTTGCTGAATAAAATGATTGTTAAAATGAAAACGTCCTTAATTTCAACAGTGAGGAATATTGCAGGTGCTCCATCGAACTTTAGGGTTGACAGTGTAACACCAGGGGGCGGGCTCACCATCCGGGTTCCGGCAATAGTTGTCTTGGTCACTAAGGTGAGAGTAGCGATGTGTGTTTGGAGACTGGCTTGACCAGGCTTGACATAGGTCTCCAGTATCTGCCACATTGTGTCTTCCAAAGTAGCGTTCACCTTTAGGATCCGAGCTAGGGAGGCATTCTAGTGCAGGAGTGGCTGTTAACGGAAACAGTTATTTGATTAAAATTTGTATGACACATAATGATAAATGTTACGTCGCGGGTTCGAATCCCACTGCGGGACGTGGAGACCGGTCCTTCGGATGAGACCGTATAAACCGAGGTCCCGTGTCGCAGTAGGTGCTGGCACGAAAAAGATCCCTAACTGCTCAATGGCCCTGAGTGCCGAGTATAGGTCAAAATTTGTAGCCCTCCACCGGCAAGTGGTGGCGTCTCCATGAAAAATTCTCGAGAGGGACGTTAAGCAACAAACAAACATAATGATAAATGAGTACAACATATCATTTACTATTGCATTTGAACTTATTTCTCTATTTCTACTCTACTGAGTTGTAAAATTCGATTTGATGAAAATATTTGTTAATAAGGTCATGCGCATGGTACATGTACTTCATAATGTACCTTTCTCCACTGATAATGTTTTAAGATATTCTTAATTTGAAGGGACCTGGACACAATTGCATTGTTTTAATTTTAAATGTCTATTCTTATTTAAAAAAATAACTTCAGTTTAATGATTTGAACTAGCATGAATATTTTGAGAATCAAATGACAACGACATTCTTTATAAAATAACGTCAGCCCCTGTATTTGTAAACAGGGTCATAGCTCTGTTATTTTTAGTGTTTATGTTTTACCGGTTGTGTTCAATTTGTCTAGTATACACACGTAACTGAACACGTACTCACAATACTTGGAAGTTGGATTTGCTTTCTTACATTTCTACTCTGAACTCTGGATTATAGTTTTCATATTTTTCATTAATACACAACAAAATTTTTACTGTTCTTAAAGCTGAACACGCTTCGTAAAAGAAATTTGTCCGCCATATTCGATTATTCACTATATCAGGGCTCCTATATAAAGCCGCTCACTTAGTCACTGTTCAGTGTAATCAGTCGTCTCCGGTGTAGACGAACGCATGCTACACAACACTCGATAGCGACAAAAAATAACTGTACTTCTAATGAAGGAGAGTAAGATACCGAAGAAACTAACAACAGTTGCACAGGTCAGTGCAGTGTACAAACAAGCATACACCTAACAGTACTGCAATAAAATATAAACAAAGGCAATATAAGATAACCAGCACGAACACGTGTCGCCATTCCACGCCGATTTCCCTGACAGTAAAGCAGTCAGGTGTAACGAATGCGAAGGGTATACCCCTGATATCGTAGATAGTATAATCGAATATGGAGTATGCCTATTTACGAGTCGTGTTCAGCTCCAAGTATTATGGATAAAGTTTACTTTGTGAAAGTGCAAGGGTTTCTGTCAATCAAACGCGTCCCGAAATTCGTAGTTTTAATAATTTCCAGATAAAAACATGCTTTTAATATATTTCGGTGTGAAATGCTCTAGCAACATATAAGTCATGATATTATTTAGAAAATTTGAGAAAATATGACCTTCAAATCTGTGTCCCAGCCCCTTTAAATTCATAGGACCATCAGATATTCTTAGGCAACAAAAATCAATTACCGCAATCTGGAATATCACAAAGCTCAAAACGTTTATTTGGATCTGTGGTGTAGCACCAGGGTGCTGGTTCTTTATCAGAATTTCTACAGTAGTTTTCAGGTAAGTTCGTCCCTACGGAATGTGAATGGGGAGTCTGAGACGCCCATGCTTGGCATGTCCTTCCAGATTTTGTAACGTTGATCCTTCCTCGATATTCCCAACCTGTGGTAGTTCTTTTACAATCAGCTTCTTCCTGTAGATCTGAGGAATACATTTTATATTCAATTGTAGGAATTATATATAGAAACCAAGTGAAGATTACTCTAAAATATGAAATAAAGCTTGAAGTATCTCAATTTTAGAGAAATATCTCAATATCATATTGAATGCACGAAGTGTAAAAACTGCTTAAATTGACATTCAAATAGCCATAGCTAATCTGGAAATGAGAAACCAAGACAAAATTATAAATGTTTGAAATATTTGTAGTATGCATTTGTGTATAAAGGGGTAATTTTACCTTCTATTTCACATTTATTCCCCTTGAACCCCTCAAGACATGTGCAATTGTAGGATGTTCCGTCCACATCACAATGACCCCTGTTTTTACAAGGATTTGGAAAACATGGTGAATCCGCTGCAAGAGACAATCCAAAACTGTGTATGCGTTTTCATGTAAAACCAGTTTCTATATAACGCTAGTATCAGATACGTATGCGGCAGACAAATAAATACAAAAGGAAACGTCAGGTATAGTTATCTCATTTTTTTTTTCATGGGTTTGTTATCAATTAAAACCTTATATTTTACCATAAGATATTTTTGATTTGAAAAAGGTATATTACCACATGATTTTATTTCACAATATTCCTTGTTTGGACCTTTCTCTCCCTGAATATAACACCAGGGCTTAGATGACATGTCGGGGTTCCTACAGTAATTGGCATCTTCCTTCATTGATTCTGAAATCATTGGGGTTTATTTTAATGATCACATTAGAGAAAGATTTGCCAAATAAGGTCGTCATTACATCTTGGCATTAAAAATGTGCAATGTTGAAGAAAGTAACGAGATGTATTCAACTCTGTTTGTGCACATACCATCTGGCCAGTTCAGACACGTTTTCCCAGAAGCAGTTGTGGAAATAGGTCCAGCATAGTCTAATCCTCTGCCCGTCATAATACAGTCGCGCAGAATTTTCTCTGTAAAAAAAAATATACTCGTGAAGACTGTATGATACATGAATTTAAACAAAAAGTGACGAACCTTTGTGAATGAAATTAGCAAGGTTAATTTTTCTTTTCTGTTTGTATCATGGTCGAACGAAATGAAAAATCGACCGAAGTATAAAAAATTCACAGGTCATACAAGATGTAAGATAAAATGTTCCTCTAAGAAATGTTAGCCAATGTTGTCTAACTTTCTATAACATTTTCTGAAGAAATAGATTAATAGATAAAGAATAAAAATTTGACAATTCCAATGTAACTGGCCTGTTAAATATTTTCAGAATTTGATGATAAAATATTCAAAATATGTAGGGAAAATACACATATCTTGCAAAATACAATCTTTATCTCGGCATAAATTTGTAATACTTTAAAATATTTCGACGTTTTCTATTTATGTTCTTGAAAAAGAAAATGCTGATGAGGCAGTGCATTTTACGAAACATAATCAATTAAACACTTAAATTACTAAGAAATTTTTAATTTTGCTGTTGGAGATATACAAAGAATATAATTTTTCTTAATTGGTTATACCGCTGTTACCATTTGTCACCCCAGAGAAGAGGTTGCTGATGCCATCAACAATTCCTTCATTGCAGTATTTTCTTCTTATCAGATATTTTTTGTCTGAAGTTTCTGTATCAAATTTTTGCGTTGGTTTGTTTTTAATGAAATATCAAATACCTTTCCTGCTTTAAATACTTATTTATAATATTCATATTATGTTCTGGTAAATCTTTTTCAATTGCTTTATAGTCATCTTGAATGCCATGAGCTGAAAAAAATTATCCTAAGTTTAATATTTTCGTGAATTCTCTTTCATTAACTTTAAAGTGTCACTAAATCTACGCAAACTTTTATCTAGTTTTATATCTGGTCTTTTTTTTTATTGCATTGCACATTGCTTTCCTTTCAAACATTTTACAGTTATGAGCAAAAAAAGCACTGGGCTAACAAATTTTTGAAGCCAACATTTAAAATATTATTAAAATGTATATTCATCACCCCCTCCCCCTTTTCCCCTATTGATAATGAGGATATAATTTTTTCCACGCCCTTACCACATTGTTGAACATCACACAACTCCCAGCGAATATCTGGATCTTGTGTGTAACACCAGGCCCCAGCGCTGCCGTCTGTGTTTCTACAGAAGTTCTCATCCTTCACGAGATTGTTATATGAATGTGTGTGTGGAGTTTGGGAGTCCCATTTCTGGCACGGAATGCCTGTTTTTGTATGGCTAACCGTCCCACTGTAGTCGGCTTGGTTCGGTGTATAAGCACACTCAGTTGAAGCTGTTAAATACAGGTTACTTAGATGACTAAACAGAGGCCTGCTTACTAATTCCATTGCTAAAGGGGTATTGCAAACGAGTTTAATAGTATAAATAGTAATAATAGTATAAATAAACATTCCTTTAAAAATATTTAAAATATTTTTGCAATTTTGAATTCCACTTAAATCATCCGTTCAAATCTGGGCAAAACTGTGATTAACTTTTTTTGAGAAAACATCAATTACAAGATATAGAATGAGATAAGCAAAGGGAGCTGTATGAGGCAAAAACAACATTTGACATGGTGGATTTTTTTTCAGAATGCGATAATTTTATGTGCAGGACATACCGCAGTATGGTACGTCACACCAGTCCCATCGTGTGGAGTTAGATGTGGTATAACACCAGGGCCTAGACTCGTCAGCGATCCGGCAGTAGTTAGACTGATTGGCGAGGTAGACATACTCTAAAGAAAAGGGAATAGTTAGACTGATTGGCGAGGTACACATACTCTAAAGAAAAGGGAATAGTTAGACTGATTGGCGAGGTACACATACTCTAAAGAAAAGGGAATAGTTAGACTGATTGGCGAGGTAGGCATACTCTAAAGAAAAGGGAATAGTTAGACTGATTGGCGAGGTAGGCATACCCTAAAGAAAAGGGAATAGTTAGACTGATTGGCGAGGTAGGCATAGTTAGACTGATTGGCGAGGTAGGGATACTCTAAAGAAAAGGGAATCGTTAAACTGATTGGCGAGGTAGGCATACTCTAAAGAAAAGGGAATCACAAGCTTAAACTGTACATTATTTTATACTTGTTCTACATGTATTTTAACTTAGCAATATTAGTATACATGTACTTTGCTGTAGATAAAACTTTTTTGAAATTCAAATATTCAGCTATAGATTCATGTTTGCAAAAGAAATAATTTACTTGAAGTGACTTTGTGTGGCTCATTAGATGCCCAGGCTTGACATTTGATCCCGCTTTTTGTGTAGTCACGTGTGCCTTCGTACTCTTTTCCTGGTTCAATGCACTCCTTTTTACTGGTAATGTCTAAAATATACGTTAATAAAGCGTCATCATCGAAACGATTTTGAATAGCCTTACTTTTTTTTTTACATAACACTACTTTTTGTTTAGTAAAAGTAACATGTATTTGTCACTAAAGAGTTTTATGAATTTCACACAGAGTACCATTATAAATTTTTGCATGTAAAATTCACGGCTTCATAAAGATATTTGTCTATCATTCGATGGTCGTAAAATTTGGGCAGAAGAAGATATTTTTTGGTTAACTTGAACGTGTTATTGCTTGATTATTTAATGTAGATTATCTAAATAAGTACATATTCAACATCATATCAAGATCTGCATTAAATCCATTTTAATATATCAAAGTACAAGTAGCTGACAAGTTTATTCTAAAATGTTTGAAAGATGTCTCCCATATTATAGATGTTATATAGATAATATTATAGATGTTATATAGATAATATTATAGATGTTATATAGATAATATTATAGATGTTAAATTATTCGATTTTTTCTCCAGTTCTCTTTTATACAGATACACTATGCAGAAGCTACACTTAATCTGTCTCAGCAAGCAATGACATGTCTGTTGCAGCTTTCCTTTGGTGTGCAGCGGTACTCACCACATTGCCGTAACTCCCACGTGATCTCATCGAGTGCTACGTCACCCTAACTCCCACGTAATCTCATCGAGCGGCACTCACCACATTGCCGTAACTCCCACGTAATCTCATCGAGCGATACTTACCACATTGCCCTAACTCCCACGTAATCTCATCGAGCGGTACTCACCACATTGCCGTAACTCCCACGTAATCTCATCGAGCGGTACTCACCACATTGCCGTAACTCCCACGTAATCTCAGAGAGCGGTACTTACCACATTGCCCTAACTCCCACGTAATCTCATCGAGCGATACTCACCACATTGCCGTAACTCCCACGTAATCTCATCGAGCGATACTCACCACACTGCCGTAACTCCCACGTAATCTCATCGAGCGGTACTTACCACATTGCTCTAACTCCCACGTAATCTCATCGAAAGGTACTTACCACATTGCCGTAACTCCCACGTAATCTCATCGAGCGGTACTTACCACATTGCCGTAACTCCCACGTAATCTCATCGAAAGGTACTTACCACATTGCCGTAACTCCCACGTAATTTCATCGAGCGGTACTTACCACATTGCCCTAACTCCCACGTAATCTCATCGAGCGGTACTTAACACATTGCTGTAACTCCCACGTAATCTCATCGAGCGGTACTTACCACATTGCCGTAACTCCCACGTAATCTCATCGAGCGGTACTTACCACATTGCCCTAACTCCTATGTAATCTCATCGAGCGGTACTTACCACATTGCCCTAACTCCCACGTAATCTCATCGAGTGGTACTCACCACATTGCCCTAACTCCCACGTGATCTCATCGAGTGCTACGTCACCATCCCAAGAATCTCCTGTAACAGCCTCAAACGACAGCTAAAGAAAATAAAAACTATTAGAGTTAAAACAAATTTATTTTTTGAATGCATTGGACCTGACATAACACTTAGGCCTCTTTACACTTAAGCAATTTTTTTGGACATTGAGAAAAGTTTGCTATATAAAGGTATCATTACTGAGCTTATCTATTGCATGTTCAGCTTAGGTTACCTGTCATTTACCCCAGGCGAAAATCTTAAAGACAACGAAATATTGACGAACAGATATCACTTTGTCTCCTTAAAAGAGGAAAATACATGCAAATACAGTGCTCAATTTACTTATCCTGGCCTAGAAAATTTTTAAGAATTCCTGAATTGATTACAAATTGAATATTTAACTAGATTTCAAATTATTTAATTTTAAATCTAAGGGCGATTTACTTAAATGCATAAAAATACCAAAGAATTAGACCACTTTGGTGTGTAATATACTAGTATAGGGGACTCTTTACGTAACTTAGGTTAGTACGCAGTGATGACTTACTTTTAGACCCACTGTTGCAGGAACATTTACTTTCGCCGTCAACCAATCAGATCCTTGGTTTCGTTCTTTTGTCCACAATGATGTCTTAGTTGTGTTTGTTCCCTCGGAAAACAATGACAGCTTGTAAACATTTCTGCCAAACATGTTGTACGCAAAAGAAAGGCAACCGGTCTGTTCTGTAATCAATAAAAGTTTAAACTATCCCGTTTTGGAAACTTTAAACAGCCTATTTTTAAAGCAAATGAATTGAAAAATCATACCGAGCTTCATGATATTTGATTCCTTCATTGAGCACCATGTATAAACCAGTTGCAACTGAAATCCTGAGTTTAATTTAAGTGAAATGTTACCTGGTAGGGGTACTGTTGTTTTGAAGATGGCCTTATCTCCAGGTTTTCTGGGTAAAGACATTTCAGCAAATAAGAACCTTTGCCCTCTGTAAGCACCCTCAGGTCCAGTTCTTGTGGATATACTATGTTTCTGCAATTTAGTTATACGTATTGACACACAGTAAATCACGTTTTAAAGCTAACATGCTTATAATGAATTAACTCTTACAGCGATTGATTTTCATTCCTAGTGATTTTTAGAATATATTGTAAAACTAACGTATATGATGAAATAAGGTTTCAACAAAGAAAAATCTCCCGTCCCTTGAACTTCAGTTTATGAGCACATTTTACTACATACTGGTGTTGCAAAGCATATTTTACCTACTGTTGTCTACTTAAGTATATTTAATTTAGTGTTATCCAAAGACTAATGAAATCTAGCTTTCCTAATTTGTTTAGGCAAGTTACCGATTTTTTCTAACTCGAGTTTCATAATTCTTTTAAATGTATAACGGCACAAGGCTTGAAGTTTCTTTAAACAATTTACAAATCGTTTTAATGTCAACAAATACTACGGAAGCCGGTAGGTGCTATGTAGAAGAATATTTTATCAGGCGGCCGCCACATACATAACTGGCGGCCGCAAGATAAAATATTTTTTTCTACCTGGCACCAACCGGCTTCCGTCAAATACAAGGTATTTTGACAACAAAAAGTGTAAGAGACACAAAATATCTGTTTTTAGGAGTAACGAAACACATGTCGGTAACAGAAGACAATTTTGTGAAATGCAAAGTCGTATATCCATTTCATTCCTCAAATTTAAAAGGAAAAATACGTACAAAACCAATTCCCCATTGAAAGTTATCACCTTCCTCGATATTGCTGAAGAAGCACTTCTCAAACCTCTCAAAAGTGCATTTAAGTTGAGCACCATCTACACAAAATGGAAATTAAAATGTATTTTCCTTGTAAAAATCAATAGAAGTCAATCAGAATTTTTCCTAAATATCTTTTATTTGCTAAATCATACAAACAATTTTTCAAATTTATTTATATGTTTTTGCTAATAAAGTAATATCAAATAATATGATTAAAAACGGGAAATTCTACTATTCTGACTTATTGTCTACCGGTATGCTATTATACATGTTATTATATAAGAAATGAATTTAATTTTTTAGAATTCATAAGAACATGAACTACGAGGCTTCACGCCGGCATATTTCATAAAGCGCGTTAGCACTTCATGTTGAACATGCGTTGTAGTTCATGTACCTCATGAATTCTCAAACTGGTCACGGTAGCCAAGTGGTAGGGCCCTCGCTTCGTGATCGGGAGGCCCGGGTTCGATTCTCGTTCGCCGCGCAGCGTCAAACCTAAGAAACATAGATATTGACTGTTCCTTCGCCAAGCACCCGGCACTAGATGTGAAAGTCACGGGTCTTTCGGATGAGACCGTAAAAACCGAGGTCCCGTGTCACGGTAGGAGTTGGCAAGATAAATAAACCTCGCTGTTCAATGGCCCTCAGTCCAGAGTTTAGGTCTAAATTTGAAGCCCTTCACCGGCATACGGTGACGTCTCTATATGGGTGAAAAATTCTCGAATGGGACGCTAAACAACATACAATCAATTGAGCAAACATGAATTCTCAAAAAATAAATTCATACGCAGCACAGTTAAGGCTGCAGTAAGGAGGCGGGGCCTAATTTATACGGGAAATGCTTACTGTGACATCACACAAAAATATAAGTTCTTCAAATTACCACGAAATGAAATGATTTGCTATTTTAAACTGTTGAATAGCTTTAAACTACATCAATACTAACTAGTGCATGCATTATTGTCGTTGGTTAAATCCCACACAGCAATATATAAACAATTCACTGATCGCAATGCACTTGTCAATGTGACGTCATATCGTAAAATTTGACGCAGTTTGTATGCAGTGAGAGGCGGATCAAGTTATATTTATACAATGAAAAATGTATTTTTTAATTAAATAAAATATAAATTGTAGATATATAAAAGGGCATTAACTTGCACTACTGTAATGATTTTCCCCTTAGATTCCAAAAAATCCCCTGACGTTCCCATGTCTGTCCCTGACATTTTCCTGTCTCCCCCTGACTTTCTCCTATGATCCCCTGTCGTTGTCCCTGACTACCCTGTCTACTCCCTGACGTCCCCTGACTTTGTCCTTGTTACCACTGTCTAACCCCTGATGTTCCCTGACATTCCCTGACGTCCCTGTCAATTCCCTGATGTCCCCTGACTAAGTCCCTGACCACCCTGCCAACCCCCTGTCGTCCCCTGACATTCATTTTGACCAGGAAAAGGGGTTAAAATATGTTTTGTTGCTATTTACTTGTAAGAAAATCGATACCTTACTCCTAGCAATTTTCAAGTTTTGTGAAAATGTAGATTTAATCATTAGTTTTTCTGTTTGAAATATCTTTAGCGAATCTTTCAAAATATTATTTTATTGATTGTTACTAGCTTTTCAGATAAAAATAAGGATAAATGCCGTTACTTAAAAAAAAAAAATTATTAATTTATTGCGTCTTGTGTAGCACGAATGGCATGTAGATATATATATTTATTTATTTATTTATCTGTTTATTTATTTATTTGTTTGTTTATTGATTTTATTAATTCATGTATCTGTTTATTTATTAATTTGTCTGCTCATTTATCTATTCTTTTTTCTCCATTTATATATATATATATTTTTTTTATTCAATCTATCTATTTAATTTATTTATTTGTTTTATTTAATTATCAATAAACAAATGGATTTATTTATAATTTTTATTTATTTTATTTTATTTTATTTATTTCCTTTATTTTAATTTATTGATTAATTTTATTTAATTCAATTTGTGTAGTTCTTCATATACAGTGTCCGGGTACAACAAATTTGCTTCAAACTATTTTTTAAGCATATTCAAATTACTTTTAATTCTTTTAATTTCATGATGGGTATCAAAATCATCGTCTTATTACACACAATCTGAATCTGAAATTTGTTTTATTGTTCCCTTTTACTTTGGTAAAATAAAAATTTCCTCAAAAACTTGTCACGGTTGTGAAAGAAATAACACCTGCAGAGTGGATACGGTCGTGCTGCCACAGAATAAACAGTGTATAGTGGTCAGTCAAAAGAACAATAGGCGTCTGATCTGTGTACCCAGAGTCACTGGTCAACGATCAACAGCTCAGAATTACTTTCACAACCGAACAGTTTTTGAGGAACATTTCTATTTTTCGTAACAAAGTTAAAGAAGCAAACAAATTTCGATTTCAGATTGTGTGTAATAAGACAATTATTTTGATACCCATCATGAAATTAAAAGAATTAAAAGAAATGTAAGTATGCCTAAAAATAGTTTGAAGCATCGTTTGTTTTCCATAAGACTGTTTATGGGGAACTACAAAAATAAATAGGAATTGAAAAAATTAATTAATTAAAATAAAATGAATAACAAAATGAAGAAAGAAAGAAAAGAAATAACATTAATTAATTAATAATTGAATAAAACAAATATCTAAAAGCAAAGAAATGAATATATTAAATAAATAAATAAACAGATTGATAAAAAATAAATAAATAGAAAAATATACAAATAAATAAGTAAAAAAATAAATAAAAATATTGATTTTGTACATAATAATGTGTTTGAAGATCTTTAGTAAATTTATCAATTTAATTGAATTTAATTTATTGATGTATATTTTTTTTTTATTTATTTCTTTGTCCGTTTATTTATCTATTTATTTTTTCATTCATTTATTAATTTTATCTATCAAATTTATTTTTTACGTATTTGTTTTATTTACATGTAATTTTTAAGAAATTAATATATTTATTTAATTTTTTTATCTATTTTATTTTATTATATTTATTTCCTTTATTTTAATTTATTGATTAATTTTATCTAATTCAATTTGTGTAGTTATTCATTAACAGTCTCCGGTAAAACAAATTTGCTTCAAACTATTTTTTAAGCATATTCAAATTACTTTTAATTCTTATAATTTCATGATGGGTATCAAAATCATTGTCTCATTACGCACAATCTGAATCTGAAATTTGTTTTATTGTTCCCTTTTACTTTGGTAAAATAAAAATTTCCTCAAAAACTTGTCACGGTTGTGAAAGAAATAACACCTGCAGAGTGGATACGGTCGTGCTGCCACAGAATAAACAGTGTATAGTGGTCAGTCAAAAGAACAATAGGTGTCTGATCTGTGTACCCAGTCTCTGGTCAACTATCAACAGCTCGGAACTACTCTCACAGCCATGACAGTCTTTGAGGAACATTTTTAATTTTTTTTTTTACCAAAGTAAAAGAAGCAATAAAACAAATTCCGAATTCAGATTGTGTGTAATAAGACAATTATTTTGATACCCATCATGAATTTAAAAGAATTAAAATAAATGTAAATATGCCTAAAAATAGTTTGAAGCATCGTTTGTTTTTCCGTAAGACTGTTTATGGGGAACTACAAAAATAAATAGGAATTGAAAAAAATAATTAATTAAAATAAAATGAATTAACAAAATAAATAAAGAAAGAAATAACATTAATTAATTAATGATTGAATAAAACAAATATCTAAAAGAAAAGAAATGAATAGATTAAATAAATAAATAAACAGATAGATAAAAAAATTAATAAATAGGAAAATATACAAAGAAATAAGTAAAACAATAAATAAAAATATTGATTTTGTAACTAGTTATTTGTTTGAAGTATCTTTAGTAAATTTATCAATTTATTTGAATTAAATTTATTGATGTATCTTTTTTATTTATGTCTTTGACCATTTATTTATCTATTTATTTTTTCAATCATTTATTAATTATACATGTATCTATCAAATTTATTTTTACGTATTTGTTTTATTTAATTTTTAATAAATAAATTTATCTAAATTATTTATTTATTTTATTTTATTTATTTCCTTTATTTTAATTAATTGATTAATTTTTATTGAATTCAATTTGTGTAGTTATTCATAAACAATCTCCGGGTAAAACAAATTAGCTTCAAACTATTTTGTAAGCATATTCAAATTACTTTTAATTCTTTTAATTTCATGATGGGTATCAAAATCATCGTCTCCTTACGCACAATCTGAATCTGGAATTTGTTTTATTATCTCTTTTACTTTGGTAAAATAAAAATTTTCTCAAAAACTTGTCACGGTTGTGAAAGAAATAACACCTGTAGAGTGGATACGGTCGTGCTGCCACAGAATAAACAGTGTATAGTGGTCAGTCAAAAGAACAATAGGTGTCTGGTCTGTGTACCCAGAGTCACTGGTCAACTATCAACAGCTCGGAACTACTCTCACAGCCATGACAGTCTTTGAGGAACATTTTTATTATTTTTTTTTTACCAAAGTAAAAGAAGCAATAAAACAAATTCCGAATTCAGATTGTGTGTAATAAGACAATTATTTTGATACCCATCATGAAATTAAAAGAATTAAAAGAAATGTAAATATGCTTAAAAGATACTTTGAAGCATATTTTGTTTTACCTTACGACTGTTTATGCGAAACTCACAAATAAATTGAATAAAATAGTATTAATTAATTAAAATAAAATGAATTAAAAACTAAATAAATATATAATATTTATCAATTAATTAATAATTCAATAAGGAAAATATATCTAAAAAGGAATATATGAACAGATTTAATTAATAAATTAGTCAATAAATAAATAAAACAAATAAATAAATACATGTGGATATATAGATAAACATATAAATAAATATAAATATATTTACTTGCCATTCATAACAAGACACAATAAATTTGTAATTCATTCTTTTCAAAGTAACTGGCATTTATTCTCCTTAAAATTTATCTAAAAGCTACATGTAGTAAACTAAAACAATCAAATACAATCATATTAAGAAATA